AGTTACCATCATAATCATCACCATCATCCTTACCATCATCACCATGATTGTCTTCTTCGTTATCTTTTTTTCTTCTGATAGTCCAAACTATGTTGCCTAGGTAAGCATGCATGGCCTCTAGCCTTTGTCTAACACACTGCTGTTCAAATCTCACACACCGGTTCTAATAGCGTCTCCACTTTTACTGGAGATGGTCGTGGCTGTTTTTCAATGTAACATTTAAAAAACTGTCTTTCATTCTCTCCTCCCTCTCTTTTGCTGCAACTCTTTTGCTGCAACTCTTTCGCTGCAACTCTTTTGCTGCAACTCTTTCGCTGCAACTCTTTTGCTGCAGCGTAGTTGCATAGTTCCCTATTTGTTGAATGGTTGAAAAGATGAGAAATGTCTTCATGAGGTTCGGGTTAAACTAGTTCTGTATGAGAATTTATTTTTTCAAGACATCTTTGATGATGCCCTTCATCTATAAGTGATATTCTATTCATCCGTCTATGAAAACCAATTTGTAGTCCGTGTCGTAATTTTCTGTTTTGTCTTTCGCTTCTCTGGTGGCCTTGGTGATGGTTTTGGTTCATCTTTCTTGCATGTTTGAGCGACACCATTTATCCGTCTCTTTCTTGGTCTTCCCTTTGTCTGCCTGCAAGATGTTCTGCCTGGCTGTATCTTCCCTAAATGGCTAAACCCCTTTCATTCTTTGTCTGTCATTATAATTCAGACACAGCCTTAGTCCAGCCTTCTCTCTAATTTAATATTCGTAACTTTGTCTCTCTGTGATTGTGCAACAGATATGATTATTGTTAACAGCACACGGCCCAAGTAACAGGTAACTAAAAACACACCAAGTTAACACACGATGTAACAAATACTGAGGCACACGCGGCTGAAAAAAGCTACTAGTGCCTAGAGTAACCAATAAAACAACGAGACAAACTGGTACATAAGGAAACTTTGAATAGCACTCAAAAAAGCCAATATCTGACAATAAAAGCATGAGAAATTAATTAACAGGTATTGAGTCGAGCTTATAGAAGCGGGCCGCTAACAATAAAAGCCTGAGAAATCAGTCAGCTAGGCAATGCTATCTTTGTCCTCGGGCCAACATTTGGAATTTCAGTTAATCATTTATTAGTTATTTTTACGATAGGCTTGTCGCGAGGTCGTATGTCAGTTTTTATATTCCTTCATCTTAGAAACAGTTTGTCAACCAGGAGTTTGGTAGATAGAATCGATGTTAGCCAATAGGGAGTTTGGTTTACATAGATAGAATTCCTATTAGCCAATTGGAAGTTTGATTAACATAAATAAATTTAATATTAGCCAATCAGGAGTTTGGTTAAGGTAGATGAAATTGATAATAGCCAATTGGGAGTTTGGTTCTCATAAACAGAATCAATGTTAGCCAATCAGGAGTTTGTTTGACATAGCTAGAATCCATGTTTTATTCATAGTTAGACTGCGTCTGCCTGAGAGTCAAGGAACAAACAGTCTGCACACAAATAGGTCACACATGCAACACTGATGTTCCAGCAATACTCAAGTCCATAAACAAGACAAAGTCCAAAGGTGGACGAACAGCCAGGACAAGACTTTCCAATAGAGATTACTGCCGCAAGAAAGAAGAACATGTCTAAAACAAACTAATGGACGGAGATATCAGGTTGAATGTTTTATTCTCAAAACTGTCTCAATAGGACACAATTCGCTGAAGGAGAAATGAGAACACACACGAATCCTAATTAAAATAGATTTCTGAGCACTAATGTCTAGAGAAAGTAAGAAAGAATGTCTTAGAGAAGGTAATAACTATATTATGTTGTATGATAGAACAAGATAGTTGATTGGGAAGATGAGTAAAATGCGCAGTGTGTTGCTCTGTATTTAAATAGTAAAAATATAATTCACCAACATCATTGTCTTCATCTTCGTCTCCTTCTTTTTGTTTTTCTTCTTCTTCTTCTTCTTCTCCTCCTTCTCTTCCTCCTCCTCCTCCTCCTCCTCCTCCATCTTCCTAAAGTCTACGCTGTGTGGCATTGGTAGTCATGTCTACCCATAACCTTCCGTCTCGTGTACTTTCAATCAACTCTGACACAGATGATCTTCCATGCCATGATGTCAGACTGTCCAGCATCTGTTCTCTCGGTCTCCCTCTGCCTCTTCTCCCCTCCAACTTTCCTACTGTCACGATGTACTCCAGTTGCTCCTTCTCATCACATGACCAAAGATTCTAGACTGTCTCTTGCTGTTGTGGGCAATCAGTTCTCTTCGCGAGTCAGTTTCTTTCGAGACATCTTCATTATTCTTTTTATTTGTCCAAGGTTATTCTCATCATTTGTGTGTACCAGTGATTTTCAACCTTCCTAATGGGGCGACCCTTTAATACAGTTCCTCATGTTGTGGCGACCCCTAGGCATAGAATTACTTTCGTTGCTACTTGATATCTTCAGTGATTATGTGTTGTCCGATGGTCTCATGCGACCCCTGTGAAAGGGTCGTTCGAACCAAAAACAGGGGTTATGACCCACACGTTGGGAACCTCTGGCCTATAAAACCACACCTTCGCAGATGTTCAAATCTTTACCTCGAATAAATATAAAATGCTTTACTTATGCCCACAGCCTCAGGAAGGGGGAATCAGCAACAGTGGTAAAGACAGCACCTAGCGAAAACACCATGTTGCTGACAAGAAGGGGAAAAATGAAGTAACGCATAGTAAGCTGCTTCGTACAGAATGAGTTTACAAAAATCAGGACGCAGTAAAGTTTCAAGCGTAGAGGTAATCAGGGAGGGTCTGTACCTGGATTTCTTGGTGTAGAAGGTGACAGCGAAGATGATGATGATGATAACGACACAGGCCGCTGTTGAACCGAGAACTATAGCCAGAAATTTCTCGTCTGTGGTGTCAAAGCCGGGGGCGTGGACGTTGTCAGCTGTGGAAGGAGGAGGAGCAATTGAGTTTCGTTAAAAGGTGTATGGCAAACACAATTTACCTAACATAGAACTGTGGGAGGAGACGCCACTGCATAACAAAGTAAAACTTAAGTAGGAAAGATTGTGTCCAATATATATAAATATTTATATTTTCAAGTTGATGAAATTGTCCAAATTGTACTTTGTCTTAGCCAACACGCCTCAGTCCTTTTTCGCAGATCGGTTGGCCCCTTCTGACAGTGTCTCACAAATCACGACCCCTGAATCTCTAGAGATGATTCTTAGGCTGCTCCGTAAAATGTGAATTCTGAACCTAACGAAGCAGTCCGTTGACCTTCAGATAGGGAGGTCAAATCCTTAACCACTTTGACTAGAAGATAACCAAACATAGAGTCTGTAGAAATTGTTCCCACGTGGTCAGAGATAATACTGATCAGCACAATAAAAGTAAAAGCACAACAAAGTGCAGTAGCGACAGGACAATAGTACACAGAGCAACATAGGCGTTATGTCAAGACTGCGCTACATAAAGACATATAACTCATATAAACAACAGGTTCCAGCTATTCATGGCTTTTCTTGTTCTGGTCTTTTTCGTTATTTCCCATGTTCTTGTTCATGTTCTTGTTCTTCTTGTTCTTCTTCATGTTCGTGTTCTTCTTGTTCTTCTTTGTCTTCTTCTTCATCTGTAAACACTGGCGGAAAGGTTTGTTTGTTAGTCCACTTCTGGTCTCTCCTCTTCCATAACCTGCATGGTGCTTGCCCATCCGTTCTACAGATCTGACTTGTTTGTATGTCTGACTGTTGGTTCCTTCCTCTCATGCAGATGCCTTCCGATTTCGAAAAGGAAATTCCAAATTAGTCGACTCTTACGACATGCTTACTTGTAGCTAATAGTCTATTCTTGTTTCCTCCACAATGAGGCCCCAGAATCCACACGGGAAGTGCAGTCAGTTCGATATCATGGTTGGAATCTAGTCTACCACCCTTGGCCTGTCCAATCAACATTCCTTTCAAGGTTTCTTTTGGGGCGTCCTCGCTTCGTCAGTACATTTCTTTCCCATTGTAATGACTGTTTATAGATTCTTCGCTCCTTTCTTCTCAGGATTTGTCCAGTTCAGCGCCCTCTTCTTTGCCTTATTACTTTTGTAAGTGCTTTATTAATATGCTACCCCAAACAGGGGAAAACCACAGGTCACGGGGCAGTCTAATATTTCAGGGTGTGGTAGATCCACTGCATACAGTCGTAGGACCTAGGCTGCATGCAGTCGTGGGACCTAGACTGTACTCTCTCGTGGGACGTAGGTGGGTTGGGGTAAGGACCAGTTCTAGATGTTTTGGGGTCGTTAAAAGCATAAGAAAGCCGGGAAACCCAGTCCTACCACCCTCTAAAATGTTGGACTGTCCTGTGACGTAATCTGGGGTAGTATATTAATAAAGCACACTTTTGTTACTAATGATTTGCCCAGGCATTGTCTCTTAATTCTTCTTTTCTCTTGAATTCTTCCCCATTTTATGTTCAATAGTTTCCTTACAATTTCTATTCAAATACATTTAACCGTCATCCCAGATTTTTCGATTGTGTTGCAATCCAGTCGTCCCCCATGTGGGATGCAATATTTCATTTTTTGAAGCCCCACCCTGGCTTTTTCCGGGGGTCCTGAATATAGCCGGGGCATAGATATGTCCTAAGAGCTGAAAGGGGTTTTCGGGACCTCTTTACGGGTGATCCTCATCCGCATGGTGGCACTTTGTGTCACCGTGTGTTTATCGCTTGTGTGATGTCCTAGTGGGGTAATTTAAGAGAGAGACAGAGAGAGAGAGAGAGAGAGAGAGAGAGAGAGAGAGAGAGAGAGAGAGTCATGCCTTTCGACTCGTTACGCGACTTATAACACCACGCCCTAGTGACAAGCGAGATTTTGCACAATATTCTAGAACGCCGACATTGTGCAACACCAGATAAAATATCATTTCACTGAAACGATTTTGTCTTCCCTCACGTGCATCTGGTTGACATAATAATTACAGCAGTTAGCCGACAACTGGGCAAGTGCAGGTGCGGTCTGACATTTAAGACATAAGACAAACAGTAAGACTGACAAAAGAATAGACAGACAATCGCACACACATCTGTAGCTATTGATTTGGTTGAAAAGACACATTTCCGCTGCTGACGCTAATTCCGTTGCCTGGTTTTTTAATGTTGGTGCTTTGGTACTGGATATTTTCTTTGTGGGATCCAGGGGCCTTATTTGGTAGGGAGGATGGGAAAGGGAGGGGGGGGGGGGTAAACTGTTACCCTCTTAAAAGCATGTCGTAAAAGGCACGACGAATTAGGGATTTGTTGAAACTAATTGTTTTGGGAGAAAATGCGCAGATGTCGCAGCCTAGCTGTAAACGACAACATAATGTGCAAACTTTATTTTAAGGGGTAAGGCACAAGAAGTAATGCATATACTTTCGGCACACTTTTTTCATATCGTGTTTGTTTATTTCGGTATCCATCTATCCATGCATCCATACATCAATATATCCATCCATCCGTCTGTCTGTCTGTCTGTCTGTCTGTCTGTCTGTCTGTCTGTCTGTCTGTCTGTCTGTCTGTCTGTCTGTCTGTCTGTCTGTCTGTCTGTCTGTCTGTCTGTCTGTCTGTCTGTCTGTCTGTCTGTCTGTCTGTCTGTCTGTCTGTCTGTCTGTCTGTCTGTCTGTCTGTCTGTCTGTCTGTCTGTCTGTCTGTCTGTCTGTCTGTCTGTATGTGTCTGTCTGCTTGTCAGCCAGCCTGAGACTGCAATTATGAAAGTCTGTCTTTCTGTAGCCCTACCCAATTTTTTTAAATGTTCCTCCTTTCTGTCTTCCATTGATAAAATCATCCCAACTCACAAAGGACTTTGTCGCTTTTAAGATATTCTTTCTTGTTCTCTGTCGTTTCTCTAATTCCTTGTCATTCTTGTCGCTGCATCGATTGCGTGTTTCATTTCTTTGAAATTAGTCTCGTTTTTATTATTTCCTCTCTCTCTCTCTCTCTCTCTCTCTCTCTCTCTCTCTCTCTCTCTCTCTTTCTTTCTCTCTCGCACATTGTACATTGTCTTAGCTTACATGCCTATGAAAGCATCCTTCTGAAAGTGTTTCACAAAGCACGACCTCTGTAGCTCTAGAAATAACTGTCTGGCTTCCACATAAAAGTTGAACTTGTGAACCAAGCACAGCAGTCTGTGTCTCTCACTTACACACACATACACGTACACACAAACATACTCACTCTGCCTGTCTGTTCTGTTACTTCAATTCTCTTGTCTTTTGATTGTATCTGGGTTGTTTTTCTTCAAATATTCTAGCATGTCTCATGTTGCCTTCGTGCGAATCTTTCTTATTTTTTTAAAATTCCTCTCAAATAACATTATCATCTTGACAGCGAGATATATATATATATATAGAGAGAGAGAGAGAGAGAGAGAGAGAGAGAGAGAGAGAGATAGAGAGAGAAACAGAGAGAGAGAGAGAGATAGAAAGAGAGAGATAGAGATAGAGAGATAGGAGTGGGAGATAGAGGTTGAAAGTGAGAGGAAGAAGGTTGAGAGAGTGCATGATAGAATGCGAGAGAGAGAGAGAGAGAGAGAGAGAGAGAGAGAGAAAGGGATATAAATAGTGTGTGAGAGATAAGGGTGGGTGAAAGTGGAAGAGAGGGAGAGTGGAAGAAAGTGTGGGAGAGAGCGCTTGAATGTGCTATTTAGAATGGGAGAGAGTAGGAGATACATAATTTAAAAAAAGAGTAGCAAAAGTCAGAGCTGGAGAGAGAGAGAGAGGGGAAGAGGGTGAGTTGGGGAGAGAGTAGGAGGGGAATAGGTAGAGAGAGAGAGAGAGAGAGAGAGAGAGAGAGAGAGAGAGAGAGAAAGAGAGAGAGAGAGAGAGAGAGGGAGAGAGATAGTTTTTTGAAAGTCGCTCTTATCAGATCTGAGAATAACAAATTATTTGTCTTCTACTTTCTTATCTTTTCTTTCTTTCGTCTCCTTTTACTTAAATATTCATTCATTCAGTATCCTGCTGTGCCATTTTATGTCACATTGGGCTAGTTGTGTATTCCTCCGCTCCGTTCTATCTCACATCCTGTTAACGCGAAAAAGAAGAAGGAGGGGAAGAAGACGAAGAGGAAGTAGGAGGAGGTAGAGGAGGAGAAGAAGAAGAAGAAAAAGAAGAAGAAGAAAAAAAAAAAAGAAGAAGAAACAGAAAAACAGGAAGTAGAGAAGGGGGGAGGAGAAGAAGAAGAAGAAGAAGAAGAAGAAGAAGAAGAAGAAGAAGAAGAAGAAGAAAGAAGAAGAAGAAGAAGAAGAAGAAGAAGAAGAACAACAACAACAACAAGAAAACGATTTAGCCTGACAAAAGCAGACAACACATTATAAAAAAAACGACATTCCTGCCATCGGCGTGGCACGTGACAATAATGACGACGACCACAGCTCTTCGGCAAAGAAAAAGCAGGCTTACTCACCTTCTTTGCATTCCGTATCCCCGTCACAGCAGACGTACTGCAGTTTGTACTGTCTAACTTCTCTAGATGGAACAGTCACCAGATCCAGTCTGTGGAAGAGTCAGCAGAATAACCGTTATTATTTCAATGTGACCATCGCAAATGTAAAGCATTCCCAACTTATCCTTAGGCCTCTGCGGCGTAAATTACTGAGGAAATTTCTGGTTGTTCGTCCATTCATGGACTTTCGTCTTGTTCCAGAACTGGAGTTTTGCGTGCGCATCCGTTTTTCTTCTTCTTCTTCTTCTTCTTCTTCTTCTTCTTCTTCTTCTTCTTCTTCTTCTTCTTCTTCTTCTTCTTCTTCTTCTTCTTCTTCTTCTTCTTCTTCTTCTTCTTCTTCTTCTTCTTCTTCTTCTTCTTCTTCTTCTTCTTCTTCTTCTTCTTCTTCTTCTTCTTCTTCTTCTTCTTCTTCTTCTTCTTCTTCTTCTTCTTCTTCTTCTTCTTCTTCTTCTTCTTCTTCTTCTTCTTCTTCTTCTTCTTCTTCGCGTTCACCGGATGTAAACTCCGGTGGAAAGTTCTGATTGTTCGTCCACTTCTGAACTGCAGTCCTGATCTAGAAACCTAAGTGTTACGTGTGCATCCATTTGACAGATCTGACTAATGTGTATGCAGACTGTTGGTTCCTTGCCTCCCAGGCAGATGCATTCTGACTTCGAAGGAAGCTCCCAATTAGTCGACTCTTACGACATGAAGTTTGAGGTTTTGAACAACGGATCAACATCACGGCACATAAGTGTAACCCATAGTGCTCTTACGACATGCTTTTGTTTTGGCAGTGGGTTTATTCTTGTTTGCCCTTAAATAGGGCCCCGCAACATACAATGAGAAGAAAGCAGTGTATCTGTTCTTTATTCTTTATTCTTCAAAATGAGCGCTGGAACCCACACGAAGAAGCAGGAGAGTAGGAAGGGAAATAAAGAAGTGTAAAATAACCCGAGATAGCATGCACAGAAAGCAGCAGCTCTAAAGCAGCAGAAATCACCTATGAATGTTTTATCTTTTTACAACACGAAGGGGGCGTTCATGGTTCTGTTTCGACTGAAAACTGTAAATGGGAGATATCAGGGCGTTTATCTTGTCTTCAAGTAGTCTGACTATGGAGGTGATGGCGGTAATAAAGGCAATGATGCGGCTAGAGACATAGCATTTTTCCCATGCGAGCTTTTTAAGTGATCCCTTGAAGATGGAAACAGGATGGATTCGAAGAAAATGGTTGGAGTCGCTGAGGAAATCTCGTCTTTATTTTTACGCCAGGACACTCCGGGGTAAGGGGGAATGAAGGGTCACTGTTGGCAGGGTCACTGTTGGAACAAGAAAAGCAAAGGACCCAGCCGACATTGTCAATGCTCTCAATGATGCAGGAAGAGAAGGTGATTCAGGAGACGAGACTGAATGGGCAACACGCTAAAGAGTACAAGAATTTCCTGTCAACAGAGGTTCTGACAAACTGTAACACTATACAAGATATACTAAATCAACACAGAACTGGTTTCATCAATTGCCACAAGCAAAGGGACATAATGAGAATGGGATCCAAGCGCTTACGACTTGTCTGATGTGCAATGGGGATACTCTTATGTCGATGAAGTAATTAACTACGTAGAACCATAAAATGGTGTTGCATGACCTCACACGTTGACATGAAGCAAAATCATCAATAGAAGGGATTCGAAAAATCAAGGATCTTGATTCCAAGGATTTTGAGAGTATGCATCCGTCCTCTATCAACATTCGGAGGTAATCCGTGAATTATGTGGAGTCCCTTAGGAAGAACAAAGAGGCTTCAGAGACGAGATGCTGTAGAAATATTCTCAGAAGTCTGTCTGTCTGTCTGTCTGTCTGTCTGTCTGTCTGTCTGTCTGTCTGTCTGTCTGTCTGTCTGTCTGTCTGTCTGTCTGTCTGTCTGTCTGTCTGTCTGTCTGTCTGTCTGTCTGTCTGTCTGTCTGTCTGTCTGTCTGTCTGTCTGTCTGTCTGTCTGTCTGTCTGTCTGTCTGTCTGTCTGTCTGTCTGTCTGTCTGTCTGTCTGACTGTCTGTCTATCTATCTATGCATGGAAAAGAAAGAAAAACGTACTGACATCCCAAAAGACCTGAACATTAATTAAAATTGGCTTGTAAACAGCATCTTGTCACGGAAACTGAAATATGTTGGTTACATCCAGTAACACAGCTTGCTATTAAAATAGTAGCAGGAAAGATGGTCCCAGGAAAGTGGGGCGTGGTCAACAATAACTAAGACAGACAAATGATATAAATGAGGGTGTGGGAGTTGGTGAGAGACTGAGGTCCTTTCAGAGAGACCGCGATGAGAGCGAAGCTCTGCAAAGGATCTGCTACGTGATGATGATAGAATTCCAAAAGAAACATGAACGCCTACGCCATTTGACAGGCAACATGATGATGAAAACAATCGACTGTTGCAGAAAGTAGGCTAAGAACATTGCACATTTGACCTTTGGAATAAACCTTTTAAAATCCATGTTTTTGAAACACCAACACCGCCCTGAGGATGTCGTGTAGATAATTATCTAGTCCAAACTACTGGAAAATTGCGCTTTTGATAGATGTCATTGGAGCAGGCGTCGCCTTTACCTCCCATCACGTGCGTCATACCATATTGATGCCGTCGAGCGTTCGTTGTTTCGTGTTTCGCTTTCAACGTCTTTGATTACTGGGTGGTAGGCGAGTAATTGTTTCGGAAAAAACTTTCATCTGTGTATTTTTAATCGATTTACGATTTTGTGTTCGCCGACAAATTGTCGCCCCTGTCTGTGTCGCGACCTGCCCTAAGGAGAGGTAGATTATTTATGCATTTTTTTTTTTTTTTTGGTAACTCTTTTAATGTCAGCAAAACGTTTCATTTGACTGTTCTTCTCGTAGGAATCCTATCTTAGAGAAAAGTTTGAGAAAACCTAATGTTGGTTGTTGACTCGGTTTTAAACATAATTTCGCCACACAGTAGTTCAATGCACTAACACACTAAATGTCGATCCAACTAACCCTTTATAAGAGATAAACACATACATAAGTGAGTGACTAACTTGCCATCCCCAAAAGGACTGCACAACAAGCAATAAACACCCGGTGACACACAGTGCCACCATTCGGCTAAAATCGCCCTGAAACCCAGTTCAACCGTTTGGTTATATTAGAACCCGGGTCAGAGTGGGATTTTCAATAACAACAATTGGGTCTCATTGTGAGACGGAGAAAGCAGGTACATCAATGTCAGCTACAATTAAAAGTGAAACGATTGTTTTTGAGATTTTGAAATAATATTTGTAATAATTGGGAGTCGCCGTGGCGTAGCGGCTTGATGCTCGCGTGCAGATCGGGAGGTTGTGGTTTCGCTCACTGGCGAATCCGGACTTTTTGTAGGTGATAAAGAGCAGGCTCTTAGATTAGCCGCTTCTGCCCCCCTTGGTGGTGAGTTACTTTACGATAGAGCGGACGTGGTGAAGTCTTTCAGGGATCACGTCAGTGGTTTTCAGCCTTCGTAATGCCGCGACCCTTTAGCACAGTTGCTCATGTTGTGGTGACTTCCCTACCATAAAATCATCCTCGTAATTACTTCATGCGTTTAGTGAATGTGTGTTTTGCGATGGTCTTAGACGACCCCAGTAAAAGGGTCAGTGGACCCCTGAAGGGTTATCGATCCTCAGTTTGAAAACCGCTAGATCAAGTCAACAGTTTGATGTTTGAGGTTTGAACAACAGATCAATATCATGGCACCCGACACAAGTGCTCCGTTCTACTTCTAACTCAAGTCTGAGTCTGAAGCAGGTCAGCACAGTGCCCACGGTCCGTAGCACATGAAATATTTGTGGGTAGATTTTCATCACCAGATTCTGCCCGAGCAGCGCTGTTAGGCTACTCTTTTCGATTTCCAACTGCTAATAGATTGTTTTACGTGCGCAACAATACACACGGGCGTCCGATCTCACTACCCAGAGACCAGTGAAAATTATTAGAAGTCCAATAAAAAGAAAAAAATCCCAGCCTTCAGTCGGGCCTTGAACCCGGGACCTCTAGCACCCGAGGTTAGCACTCGAGCACGTGTTTGTGGTAAGTTGTCTTCAAGTCCTCGCCTCTTTCAAAAGATCATGAGTGCTCTTTTTTTTTTAGCTGTCCAAGAAATGCCAAGAGTTCTTGCGTAAAACCACATCTCCGAGGCCTCACGATGTTGTTTGGCTTGTTTATTTTATTGCCCACCATTCACAACCGCATGTTAAAACTGGCTCTATATGAAAGGCGATCATTCTTGTCCTAACCTCCAATTACATTCATTTATTGCACATATTGTTCTTCATTTCATATATAAAATAAAGTTTTAGTCAGATCTTTTATGTTCTTTATAGTGTTTCGTACAAAAGGGAGAGAAATTGTGTTTTTATTCTGTCTCTAGGTCTGTCTCATGGTAGCCTGGAAAAGACGGTGATGGAAGGTGCAGTTTGTGGAAGGTAAGGTCCAGCACCGCGAAGATGGATAAAAGACCTTAAAGAAGCATTGACATTGAAAGCACATAGGGCTGGAGAGATGGCTATAGAAACGATACTTTCAGGCCAGCCTGGAAGAGAGCGACGTTCGGTAAAGGACTTGCTGATTGATAATGATGTGGTCTGTCTCTCTGGCTGTCTGTCTGGTTAACGGGCCTGCGTGCCCAATTTCTGACCCTTTGAAAATAAAGTTCGTTCGTTCGTTCGCTCGTTCGTTCTGTCTATGTGTCTGTCTATCTTAAGGTCTATGTCAGTGTCCGTCTGTCGTTCTAACTCTGTCTCTGTCTGTATTTATTCTGTATTGACGTCTATCTTTCTGTATGTTTTTTCTATAAATCAAACTACTCTTCTACCGCATTCACTGGCGTAATTAAAAATTATTCAAAAAAGAAAAAGACTCCAAGTGGTTTAATGAAAGATTTTATCTATGCAATTCCGATATGTTGAATCTATCACTCAGAGTTTCCATTGACACACAAAGCCATCACGTTGCTAGGGAAATATGTACACAGCTTTTGTACACCCCATGTTGAACTTCCCCCCGTCGCCATTTTGA